CACCAGAGCTTCAGCCAAACTAAGCAAACAGGTGAATAGTATGACACCTATATCCACAGTAGGCCTTGAAACAAACAGGAAGGCCAATAAGAAACGTTCACGACGTCGCAAGACGACTACAACGTTCCCCAAGAAGGCAGACGATTGCAAGGTCTGCAATTCTATTGTCGAACAAGCAGATTCTGCTTTCGAATGTAACTTTTGTAAGCAATGGGTACATTGTAGATGTGACACCGGGGTACCAAAGGTATATTACGATTTTATGCGTAAGAACCCATGCCCATGGTTCTGGTACATTTGCCCAAGTTGCCGTCCTAATGCAGCCTCGTGTAGTTCCTCGAAAGCTACAGATGTCATAGAGATATCAGGAAAAAACGTGAAACGTTTTACTCCCACCAACTCAGAAAACAGCACAATTGCATGTAAATCGGGGATACCAAAATCCACACCGGTTATACTTGCAATTCCTGCCATAACCGCCCCAGACACAGAGGTTGAAGCACCAAGGGTACCTGTCGCCGGGAAAAGACCCTTACCGTCCACCAGTAAAAGTGGCCACAGCACTGCGACACATAATAATACCCAGTTGCACCAGATGAAACAAAACGGTCTTAAGGGGGATGACAAATGTGCGAGGACCGAACCTAAATCCACGGTCAGTCGATCAAACTGCGTTATCCTCTTTAATGTACCAGACTGTAGCAGTAGTCTGCTGGAAAACAGGGCCCTGTTTGATCAGGAACAGTGGTCCAACTTATGTAGCACACTGGGTCTGGACATCCAACCAGTAAAACTGTGCAGATTGTATAAGGGCACTGCTGCTCCTCAAGGCAAACCATCCCCACTGAGGGTAACACTAGGCTCTGCCGAAGATGCCGAAAAAGTTTTATTGACTTCCCAAGTCCTTTCTATAGGGAGGACCTGCAATATACGTGTTAGGCCAGATAGGCCATGGAAGGAAAGACAGATGGCGAGGGAGTCGCCAGAGCTTATTCCTTCTGCCTCCATGGTTGTTCACGGCATTCCTGAACTGGAAACTGGGAACGCTTGTGAGAAGCACTGTCACGATGTCCAGCAATGGAGATGGTTGGCATCCCAGATGGGTCTGGGAAGTTCAGGGGCTGTCTCTATTTTTAGACTGCCTCGACCCACTCACCTAATGTCAATTAACACCCCACATCTGTTAGCTGTTAAGTTTAGCTCCCGAGACCACTTGACTACTGCTCTCCAGAGATGGTACGAGACCAAAGACAAGGTCAGCAGACACATTCGCTGCTGCGAGAGCCGGCCTCGTACCCAAAGGAGAGAGCAAAACGTTGTCATAGAACATCCCCAACCCCTAGTCACAATACAGCGGTGCAGCACGGACGATGATAGCCAGTGCCATCCAAGTGCTCCGATTGAATCAGAAGAAAAAAACTCCAACAGGCCGGTTCCCGGGGAATCGGCCAACTAGTTCGTAGGATAACTCCTCAACCGACAGCCCACATCACGTCAACCACCCCCCAATACGGGGACGTGGTGAGACTGACTACCAGTTGCCTGTACAGTAATGTGAGAGGTCTAAGAGGCAAAATAGCTGAACTTAGATACCTACAATCACAGCTGAACTCCAAAATCATAATACTGACGGAAACCTGGCTAACCCCTACGGTGGCAGACAGCGAAGTCAGTATAAATGATATGGTCCTTGTCAGGCGAGATAGGGATCTGAAAGAAGGAGGTGGAGTCGCCATATACGTCGACAAACAGCTCAGATGTGTCCATGCAATCGACCCTCCCCTCATTGAGCTCCCTGACTCCATATGGTGCCATTTCACCGTTGGGTACTGTAAGTATCTAGTGGGCAGCATTTACAGATCACCTTCATGTGGAGCAGACCACAACCAGGTACTGCTGAATGCAATTTCAGCGACACATGACCTGGGTTATGATCAAATTGTCATAGCTGGAGACTTCAATGCCCCATCTCTTAACTTGATGACGGGATGTGCCCAGGACAGATTTGATCGAAATCTGCTGCATACCATCACGGAGGCCGGATTCACCGAAAATGTCAGAATGGATACTAGATGGGGCCCAGATGGGAAGTCTTCTAGACTGGATTACGTGCTCACTAGTGACCAGCTACTAGTGGAAAACGTTCAGATCACGACTCCCATAGGTGGTAGTGACCATGCGGTCATAACATTCGACATAGTCCTCCGCGAGCGTTTACAGTGGGACAATACACAGCCCTATCTGTGTTATAACAAAGCCAATTACACCGAAATGCGAAGACTTTTGTCTGAAGCAAATTGGCCAAAAAATTGGACAGAGCTTACAGTAGAAGAACACTGGAGAGTGGTAAAGGAGATCATTCACCAGGCGATCTCAGACACTGTTCCTTTGGTCACACCTAAAGCTAGAAAGCAACGTTCATGGCTAAAAAGGGGGACACAACGCCTTCTACAGGCGAAGCGAAAAGCCTGGTTTGCGTGGCGAGTATCGCAGAGTCAACCCGAACATGAAGAGTACCTCGAACTCAGGAATCGGTGTAACATACGAGTCCGGAGTGATAGAAGGACATTTCAGAGAAACCTCGCCAATAAGCTTCTCGTGAACCCCAAAAGCCTATACAGGTTTATGTCTGAAAGAAAACCGACCAACCAGGGAGCTTGCAATATAGTGGGTTCTGATGGGAAATCTCTTACTAGTCTTGAAATGGCAGAGACATTCAGTCTAGCCTTTCACAGGCAACTGAACAGTAACGAGGATTTTACCCTCACAAAACATCAAGATTACAATGCAAGACCAACGTGCGAAAACCTGCTGGGTACATTTCAAATTACCCCGGCTATGGTACTCATAAAATTGGGAAAGTTGGCTTCGGGAAAGTCTGCAGGTTGCGACGACATAAGACCATCCGTCCTGAAGCAGTGTTCAGAAAGTCTCTGCCAACCCCTAAGTGATCTGTTTCAACACTCCTTTGATGTAGGGAAACTTCCATGTGAATGGAAACGAGCCATCCTATCCCCTATCTTCAAGGGTGGTGACCGGCAGAACGCGACCAGTTACAGACCAGTTGCGCTACTCCCAGTGATATCGAAGATATTCGAAAGTCTCATTGACGACCACATGAGAAAATACTTCGACGGAGCTAACCTACTTCATGAAGCACAGCATGGTTTCAGGAAGGGAAGATCCTGTGTGACGAATCTTCTACTAGCTTGGAACGATTGGACACTATCCTGGGATGTAAAGGTACCAGTCCATGTGATCTTTCTCGACTTTGCGAAAGCATTCGACACAGTTCACCATGGTCTGCTCCTTCACAAAATAAGCAAAGCGGGTGTTTCTGGAGCACTTCTCGCATGGCTGGAAGATTATTTAGGCGAGAGAGAATTCTGCACCAAAGTCAACCGCATCCGATCATCCTGGCACACCTCGGCATCAGGGGTTCCTCAGGGTTCTATCTTAGGGCCGTTGATGTTTTTGATTTTTATCAATGACCTGCCCTGTCAACTGAATTGCTCTGCGCTTCTTTACGCTGACGACGTAAAGATTTGGAGAGCAATAAACTCATCGGAAGACTCCGACAGATTGCAGGCTGACCTGCAAACGCTGGGGGACTGGGCTCTGGCTAACGGAATGCCTTTCAACTTAAAGAAGTGCAAAGTAGTGCAACTTCATTCCGGCAGGTCACAGAGTGCAAATTACACCCTTGGTGGCCAGAACTTGAGTTGTGTGCCATCAGAACGCGATCTAGGCCTTATTTTAACAGAAAAGCTAGACACCAGTGTAAATTACACGAGGGACGTCGCCAAAGCTTACGGCACTTTACACTTTATGCATAGGCAACTGGGAGCTCTTACTCCTGAACTATTCCTAACGTTGTATACGACATACGTGAGGCCACTCCTTGAGGTGCATAATATCATTGCTCCTCCGCTACTCAAAAGGGATGCTAACATGCTAGAAAGTGTCCAGAGACGAGCGACAAAATGGGTGATCGGCCTCCGCAACAAATCATATGAGGAGAGACTGAAGAAATTAAGTCTTTTCACACTTAGTTACCGTAGTCACAGGGGAGACCTCATCACCGTCTATAAGATCCTAAATGACCAGGCCCATCCTAACAAGAGCATCCTGCCATTAAGTGATTATAGGCTTCCACGAGGTAACCCGCTAAGGATAGCACACCAGAGACCAAGGACTCGAGTGCGTTCACATTTCTTCTCGCTTCGAGTTTGCCGTCTCTGGAACGCTTTACCGGCGGCCGTAACTACAGCTCCATCTGTGGAGATTTTTAAGCGGAAGCTGGACAATCATGCAGAAATGCATGGTTTGTGTCTCAATGGCTTACCCTCTTAAAATTTGAAACCACATTGTCAATGGATAAGCATACAAGCTAAATCTTCACGACCCGTCCTGTCTTCTCCCACTGTACCGACTACTCTATCTTTCTTTCTTTATTATTTCACTTATCTCAACCTATATTATCTACACTACAACCTATTATTATCATTATCATTATTATTATTACTCTACTTTTATGACTATACCGAATGACCGACGGGTGTTAGGTCAAACTCCATTCACGGCAGCAGCTGAGTCCTAACATACTGCACACTACAAACCACAATCTTGACCAATCCTCGCATCACTCCTCTTGGAGTCTACCAGAGCTAAAGCAGTCGAGTGGCGGGATTTACTACGCATAAGTTCACCGAAGATCTGGAACCTCTACCTTAAAATCAAGAAGCGAGCTCAAAGAAATCACTGGTTTATACTAGCTCGTAATCAGGATATTGGATATTGGATATTGGAAATTATTCATCCCAAGTGTAGAATCTTCAAGTAAATTATTAGTCGGTATCATTTCACAAGAAATAATAATATTCCATAACTAGATGCGTCCGACTGCAATTGTTTTCAGGATACTGAAAGAATTCTTTGCAAAAGTGTTACGTATTGAGAGCTTTTTGTGTTGGTTAATTTTCAATCGAAACAATTTAGACGTCAGTATCCTTGACCTAGAGAATTGCTGGCGGGCTACTTGGATTCCCGTAAGTTGTGTAAGTTGTTTCTAGTATGGTAGTAAATTTTTCTGCATATTGCTCATTATAAAATTCCCAAACTTCGTAGATGGCCAGGTAGTTATATTTTAAATCGTCGCTTTACAATTAGAAATCCATATAACAGTAGGTCTCTAATTTATTTTGAATTAGTCCGAATTTTAATTCCACTGAAAGTGTGCTATATATCTTCAGGTTAAAAACCGTTATTCTTTGTGTGTTAAATGTCATGTTGAGGCAATGTTTTCATCATATTTACCAACGACATCAAATGGAGTCTTTGATATGTAGTTGGGTTACTCCATTTGAGCTTTTGTACCGTACTTTAGGTGAGATGTTCTGAGGAATGCATCAATGTTTATTTATAATTCGGTTTATTATTTAAATGCCGTTTCAATGTTTATGTGGTAGGTGCTTTTCAAAGTTGTGTTCGGTATGAGCACAATTCTAATGAAGTAGTGTGACTTAAACTTAGGCAATAATATAAAAATGTCATATTAGGTTGGGACCTGCAATGAGTACGTCAATATCGCTAATTGTGGCAGATACATTTTTGGATAAGTTGGTATAGGTGGTCTCCTGCATCGTTCAGTCCGACTCCGAAAGTTTATTGAGGTTATTTAACATATTCACAGTATTAAAGACAGGCATCCACAGGTATTTTCAAGCATAATGGTAAACGCAGGCCTATTTGGTTATGAATTACGGAGTCATTAAGTGGCACCTCTAATGTCGGATTACATTAGTATGAGGAAATTAAGATGGAAAGTTGAACATCAACACTTAAAGAAAACTCTCCCATTCAAAACGGTTCCATCCTGTTCTGACAGTAAAGATAAAAAATACTCATATCATCAATAGGTCAACTAGCCAATCAGTACGAAAAAAAATTTACGATAGAAAGCAGGACCTAAAAAAGGTTTGATACCTAATATTTACCCTGATATATTCACAAGTAAGTAAACTAGGGATAGTAGACATACACACAATTTATAAATGTGTGTATAAAGGTGACAGCATAAAAAGACAATAATGTACACCGTTGGTAGTGTTTCCATGCAAAGAAAAACTCCACAATTCTTTTTAAGATAGGAATTAAGTGGCATTTCATTGAGAACCAGTGCCGAATGTGGTATCCTGTGGAGCTCATCAAACACAATGATTAATTTTCTATAGTTTGATTTGTAAAACAATGATTAATATAATACCAGTCAGTGGAATTGGTGTCAGATACATATTTCAATATTCGGTTATATCAGTGAAGTCCGGGAACTTAGCAATATCTACGTTAGTAAACCGTACTAAGATTTAGATTCATATTTATTTGTTGAGGATAGAAGGCTTAGAGCCTATGTTAATCTTCTTGTAGTAAAGTTCTGATCTTGTCCAAACCCTTCTTGAATGAATCAGTACTAAAGCAAGAAATCTAGAGGGAAGCACAGTTTTATCGGCATATTGGGTCACACGTCCATGCGATAGGACGGGGTAGCTTGACACTCTTAAAGTCTGATATAACAGGGTGCAAGCAGAGATTAGGGATGATTTGACGGCTGTCTAAAATATGTGGACAATTGTACTACCTCTATGATGAGTGGAAATAACAAGAGGTATGAAGACTTAGTTCCAAAGTTGTGAACTTACATTTGGTATGATTACTAACAATAATCCGTGTTCGAAACATAAACTGTGACCCATTGACCAATCAAACTGGCTCTGAGTTATATGCTGCCACAGTACCAAATTTGTATGAATTTTAAAAGGAGCTTCCTTTCCAACAAGTAATGCACAAAATGAGGTTCATATGAGTATTCAAAGGAAAATAAATGGAACCTTTGTGCTGTCCATGTAGACATCTCGATAGTGTGAGACCTTCAACTAGTTTTCACTTTAGTTTCCCTTTTCAATTATGTGTTAAGTGGCGGTAAGTACCCCGTTATATCTTCCCCCATTAAAATTGTGAGTATATTTAGAAGCCTACTTAGAACTTCCGTGAGAATTGGAAGGACAGCATTCATAGAGTTCAACTCACCAGTGAGCATTGAATTCCAAGAACACTTAAGAGGAAACCATATAGATTGTGGAATATATTATACAGGTCTGTAGCAGACATCCATCAGCACTCGACTCTGAATAGCCTATGTAGTAACCACTTCGTGAAAACGTCTACCTCTTTCAAAATAATGCTTAGGGTGAACTTCATTGGTCGAACAGACTTATGCCACTAAGGAGATTGTATTGTAAGCTAGATGAAATCTCCAATATTTGCCGTGCTGTTTAGAATTTTCATAACTTAAGTTTGGGTTTGGATACTTACGGAAAGCAAACGAAACGGCCGACTGAACGACGGCTTCTCAAATTTTCACGTTAGACAATTTGCCACGAGGCAGTTAAGCATAGGTATCTGTTGTGTTGCTAAAGTTCAGGTTAGTCAATTTATAATTAGTAGGAACTTGGTTACCCAAAACAGACGTTTTGTGTACCAGGTTATGATGGTCGGGTATTGAGTGAAGATTCATGATACTATTGAGTTGTTCGGGCTGAAATAGGTGGGATTCTGCTAGAACCATGGACCTACTAGCTGAAAGTCGATTATCCACATTTCCATTTTACCACAGGCTGAGTAACGTTATCTTGATTACTCATCTGTTCTAGTGCTTGTAAAATTCTTAATTTTATCCAAACTTATTAGTCACGTTGTCTGAATTTACAGACTTCTTTTCATGCAGGAGATTCACTGGTTAATTTTGAGTGCAAAGACAGTACTGTTTCGCTCAATGAAGACACTGAAGAAAACAATCTAGACACTGTAAGCAACTACATTGAGGTCAGTGATATATTCAGGATTGGCTCGAGTTGACATTTTGTTAGATGATGTTGAATGGAAAGATTGCGTAATAATACCACCTACTTTAGAACTCATACTTGTCTTGATGTGTCGGTTGTTGTGAAATTTGGGTAGTTATACAAATTATCCCCTCTTGCTTATGCAGTGGATGAGATATTCGATTATTTGGTAACTGTAGTGTGCACTTCACAGCATTGCAGACTGTCCAACTGTGACTGTGAAACGCTGAAAGTGAAAGACATTCTAAGGCTTGATATGTTTGATCTTCACTGTATTTGTAGACTTATGTTCGACTAGTGAATCCAATACGTCAGTAATGTACTGATAGAAGTGGTCTTAATTAAAATAGGTGAATCGTTGGATTATTATTTTCGGTCCATTGCGTTCTCGGTGTAACATGGGGCGTCATTTTCACCCGGCTCTATATCTGCCCACAAGATTTCGTTTCCTCTACACATGACCTCCTCCATGTCACCCTCGGACCTACGCACAGCTCGTCGTTTCTCACTTAGGCCCACCCGACAGTGTGGCATGTGATGTTACTTGAATGTTTCCTCAACGTAAGTCCAGTCCATCTTCATTTCCTTCTGAATATATATATATATATACATATATATATATATATATATATATATATATATAAGGCAACAGGTTGTACAATAGTTTGTTGCACCGACACAGATCAAGAAATGACACCACTTAGTGAAACAGTTTGCAATGTAAACCTGCAATCTAGTTATGATTTGTAAAACATCTTACAGCAATGTCTCCGCGACTTAGTTTTTCAGCCTTAAAAAGATTTGAGTGATTTCTTTTGAATTGTTTGATTAACAGTTCTGTTTTTTGAGAGCATATTTATTGGGATGAATTCACCAGATTATTGAGTGCTATAAGAATAGAATTTGGTCACTGTGGTAGAGCATAATTCTAAAGTGAAATATTTGTTTTAGGATGTAACATTATTCACTGATGTAGTTTCGAGCACAATTTATCGCTCATAATCATATCACCATTCCAAGTGTTTCAGTGTATCGCAATCCTGACTTCTCACTCCCCTCTCACTGCCTGATGCATAATCCAGTCCACCTATCTGTTTGTCTGTTTTCAACATAGAACTTTGCACCGATGTGCAGGAGTTCAAGTCGCCACTTTCCATGTAGCACACAAAGCAAGAGAAGAAAGTAGAAGCAATGCTAAACAGAGACAGTAGACAAGGATATAAGACAAAAGGAATAGTAATAACGAAGAACAATATAGTTTTATTGGAAATTATAAGTCACAAGGAGTGGATGCATCTGCGCTATGCATTGAGGACGATTTTGAGCCAGTCCACCACAATTAAGAGTATCGTCGGTGATAATAGGCAGCAGACTTGTCTTCACTTCAAACGCCTCACTGAGTTTTCCGTTACGGATTACCTGGCACGTAGCATAGTCATATAGCTGTGACTGAGTGAGATTGATAAATATTGGGCACTGTACGCCATAGTGTTGAAGTAGTTTCCAAATTACTTCGCAGTCAACACTGTCTATCGATGACGATGATGCGTAGAGTTGGAATTCGATCCGCACATGATTTGCCTTTCCTGAATCCAGCCAGGTTGTTCCGGGCTGACGGGGTTCTGCATCTTTAATTCTCTCCAGGATGACGCGACTTAGTTTTTTACTTGGCGTGGACAATATCATGATTCCACTCCAGTTCTCGCAGAGTGAGGCATAGGTAGCCTTTATTTCGAAGCTTGACAAGGTAGCCTTTCTTCTGTAGACCTATCGTTGTGTTTCGTAATGTCACGGCTGTCTCCAATTTCTTGACACTAACCACTATTTGAAATTATCTGTTAGACACACGTTCTCCTAAAAGGTGTGCCAGCAGCTGGTAAGCTCTGTATATAAACATTACAGACGAAATAATAGCATACAGTCACCCATCACCTCTATTCGAAATCCTTTGCTGAAAGGCAATATGTATATATATAATTTCAAGTTTAACCACCTGTTGATGTCAGTTAGAGAACTATTAAGAACCAGGGAGCACTGAACAGCTGTTTTGTCCTACTTTGGGACTCATCGGCAGTGCCCACCCACCTCAGGGTTTCGTAACAAGGACGTTCCGATTACATGGCGAGCTAGTAGCCCATTCATTCACCCGATTCGGTGGCCAGCGCATGAATTATAACTTCTACCAATTCGTGATTTTAGCGCAACTGGCACCTGCCAATATCATTAGTGGCTAGTATCTGTCCTCACTTCCGACCGGGTGGACTCTACTGGTCACAATTCCAGGCAACTTATTATATAGTTATTAACACTACCTGACTTATCAACGTAGGTCTTTGCACAAAACTACAATAGTTGAAGTCGTCTCACTACAGTGATATCCTCGTCAGTTCCACCTGTAGTTGAAACGATGCTTCCCAGGTAGGTAAAAGAGGTTGTTTCTTTCAGGTTCCTTCCATTTGTGCTGATTGTTGTCTGTTGTTGTTGCTGTTGATGGTGTTGCCCAGGAATCTTCATCACCTCTGTTTTCTCTATGTTCACCTGAAGTCCTATCTTCACTGGATGCTTCTTCTGCCAACTTGTTGCTTTTCGCTTGCATATCTTCCAGATTGTGGGAAGTCAGACATGTATCATCGGCGAAGTCCAGATCCTCCAAGTTTTTTTTTGTGAGTCCATTTTATGCCTGTTTCCTCATTGCCCGCTGTTTGTCGCATTATCCAATCCACTGCAATCAGGAAAATCATTGGTGATAGTAGGTAGCCAGACTTGTCTTACTCCTGTCTTCACTTCGAAGGATTCCGTGAGTTTCCCGTTGTGGATTACTTGGCATGTAGCATTGTCGTGCAACTCTTGGATGAGATGTATAATTAGTTAATACAAGAATGATGTAGTATAGAGACAAAGTTAATCAGACAGCAACTAAAGTAAGATTGAGTTAGTAAGCTAGATGACGTAATATAATTGACTAAAATGTTACAACTTAGGTCAGGATAGCAACAGAGGTAATTACAGGTAGAGATTAAGTAGAAGTGAAATTGAGTAAATAAGTTGGATGACGTAACATAAATGACTAGAAACTGAGCGATGTTCAAGTATAATTGTCGGTGGCACCCCGTAGTAGCGAATTAGTTGCCAAAGCACCTCTCGATCAACGCTGTCGAAGGCCTTTTCAAAGTCGATGAAGTTGAGATAGAGAGCTGACTGCCATTCCAAGCTTTCTTCAATGATGATCCGTAATGTGGCGATCTGATCAATGCATGACTTGTTTCTCCTGAATCCAACCTGTTTACAATAGGTGTAGTGTACTGTTGTTTCTATACGTCTCTAGATGTTTTCTCAGTCAAATTATATATTTATATATATTTCTTTTTCTTCAAAAATTAAAATAGTGATTTGCTGCTGCACATCATTACTTGTACATGGCGAATCGTACAGTTAAAGATGCCCATACAGTTCACGGCACTAATCCCCAGTATCTCATTGAGAAAATCGTTCGTAGTCGTATTTATGAATCACAATTCTGGAAAGAGCATTGCTTCGCTTTAACAGGTATGCAACTTCTGTCTGTTCTGCTTAACGATATTTTTTTGTGTTCAATAGCTGAATTATTAGTCGATAAAGCTGTAGAACTGCGTTATGTTGGTGGAGTGTATAGTGGAAATGTTAAACCAACGCCTTTTCTGTGTCTTACACTGAAAATGCTGCAGATTCAACCGGATAAAGATATTGTCATTGAATTTATAAAACAGGAACCGTACAAGTTAGTTTATTCTGGTAAAAAGTCGTTGATTTCAGGTATGCTCGAGCTTTAGGAGCATTCTACTTGAGACTAGTTGGGGAGTCTGTTGAGATATATAAATATCTTGAAACGTTGTATAACGATTTTAGACGTTTAAAATTTCAAGATAAAATGGGGAGTAAGTTGTTTAACTGTCTTGATAATTCATCATTGTTAGATTTCAGTTTAATTTACATGGATGATTTTATCGATCAGCTGCTTACAGAGGAACGTGTTTGCGATGTTATCCTGCCGCGTTTACAAAAACGCGAAATTCTTGAAGAACTCAACGGTTTAGAACCTCGGCAGTCACTTTTAAACGAGGATCTGGAAGATTTGCAGTATACAGAAGAATTAGACACAGTGAATAATTATGATGAAAATAATAAATCAAAAAGCAAGCATAAACGACGAGATCATGGGAAAGATAAAGACCGGCATAAACGAAGACATCGTGAGGAATCTCCTCATGGTGACCGTAGGGAAAGAGAACGAGATCATGTGTCGTCACGTCATAAAGACCGTGATGACTATGAACGTAAACGCGACAGAGAGAAAGGTCGAAGGTAAGAAAGACTTTTTTTTTAACTAAAATTCGATAGTTCCATTCTTGCTTAAGACCTAACTAAATTCAATTCTCAATTCGATTGTAGTAGTGTTTGAAAATATCTTTCATGATGTCTGTCTGTTTTCAACATAGAACTTTGCACCGATGTGCAGCAGTTCGAGTCGCCACACTTCACTCTGTACACAAAGCAAGAAAAGTAAAAAGAAATGCAAAATAGAGACAATAAAGAGAGATATGAGGCAAAAACAATAGTAAAATCGAAGAACAATAAAGTTCCATTGGAAATTATAAGTCACAAGGAGTGGATGCATCTGCGCTATGCATTGAGAACGATTTTAAGATATATCACCGATTGTTTCTAGTGGTGTTTACCGTCCGGAGGACCTCAACCGGGAAGTCTACACCTCGTTACCTGTCTGGCTTAAACTAACTGTTGTGGATTTCATTGACTGGTGAAGCCATGTTTTGTTTTGACCACCACTGGCTAGCTCTTTTCCAACCTGACCCATCCTATGTCAGCTAACATTGCCCATCGAGGAAGGTGATGCCTAGCCATGCATAACACAGAATGTCGTGACCACATCAATCGGTGTGACTTCACAGCCTCGTCGATTGATTTCCCCTTCTTACCCACCTAGCACTCGACTGATGCCTAACCTCAATATTGTTCACCTTATTATACCACTTCACACAGGAGATAGAATGCAGGCATCTATGATCAAAGACAGTTAGCCAGGTTTTTCATGTCTTCTACTTTTAATATCCATGTCTCAATCACAGCCAGCCATAAAGGAGTACGGAGTGAAGTGCTGAGCAGTACACATGTCGTCCGATCGATAGCCAACAAGACATCACGTCCATATGGGAGATGATGTCTGTTGGCACTTCCCACACAAGCATTCTGTATCCTTTCTGAGATTTCGTCAGCGATCACAACTTCACAATTGAGTGAAGTGGTCAACACGCGCTCTACCGCCTCACTCCCTCTCACTTTTAGCAAGGGGTCAGTGTAGTTTAGTCATATTTACCTCATATCTGACAGGTGTAAATTGCATGCCAAACATTCGAATATTGCTGCTCAAGGTGTTGAGAAGACTCTGCATATTTTCAGCGTCTTCACCTAGGAGAATTACATCATCTGCACAATCTAAGTGAACAAGACAATTCCCTGGTAACAATTCACTACCGAAGTTACTGAAATCAGTTAGAGTTAATTCCATTGGTTATATCTATGATGAAATTATACAGAAAGGAGGACAGTGGTCATCCCTGATGGACACCACCAATTGTTGTCACTTCAGATGACAGCCATTCGTAAGCCCTTGCAAGTCTGTGTGAGTTCAAGCGGAGTGCCTTTATTAGTGCGATGTCTTTTCTTGACTGTGATTAACTGACTGAGTTTTCAACCTAGAACTTTACACAAAAGTGCATCAGCTCAAGTTTCCACACTCCATATTGCACATATTAAGATGAAGTGAAAAAATGGAAAGGAGTTGTAATTGCAGTAGTTGGATGAAAATCTATTTAGTTAGATTTCTCAACACTAATTTGAAAGGAGAGACTGCTTCATCTGGACTCAAAAGACTATGTGGCGTCAAACTGTCGATGGTGAGTCTCTGGAGGACTTCCCCTCCTTCTGGAACATTTGCGTAGACTCTGATCATCCTGTGGTTCATACATACATATGCCTGCGACTTAGAAAATAGGCAGCAGTGAAGTGTCGCTACGCTCTCAAGTTGTTGAGAAGACTAAGTCTTTATTCAAAGAGGAAATAGCTAAACGTGTATCAGAGATTGATAGGAAGACTCATCTTAAGTAGGTCTGGCATGATATCCAGTCAGTTGTAAAAACAGTGGCAAAGCCTGTTGATATTTTGCTCGCATGAAATTTGACTAAAAGTCTTCACAACGATCATCGCACAGCCGTAGACGAAAGATGCAAAAGAGATGGGAAAAGCATCAGCGACAGGTGATACCAGACAACTATTTAGAATGATTAGGTAAACAGGGTGAGAAAACCAAAGATGAGTGAAGCGATTTCCCAGAAGGATGGTTCTTTCATTACTCCTCAAGATAGAAGACGGCTGGAATGTTGGAGGGAAGGAACATTTTCAGGAACAACTCAACAGGCCTACAGCCACACTGGATGTGACATGGAACTTGCCCGGCATCCAACACCTATGTGTATGGGAAGTAGACATCAGCCCTCTAAATGAAACCGAGGTTGTAAAAGCTGTGTCTAATTTTAAACGAGACAGGGCTTCAGGACTTGATGAAGTGGTATCCGGCTGGCTATCAACCGAAGGTCATGTGTACTGCTCAGCAGTCCGCTCCGCCCTCCTTTATGGCTGTGAGACCTGGCCATTGAGAGTGGAAGACATGAAAAGATTAGCTGTCTTCGATCATACGTGTCTGCGTTCTATCTCCCGTGTGAAGTCGTATAATAAGGTGAACAATATTGAGGTTAGGCATCGGTCGAGTGCTAGGTAAGGAGAGTAAATCAGTCGACGAGACTGTGAAATTACACCGATTGAGATGGTTAGGACATGTGTTACGTATGCCTAGTCATCGCCTTCCTAGACGGGCTATGTTAGCTGACATAGGGTCACGTTGGAAATGAGCTAGCGGCGGTCAAACCAAAACATAGCTTCGCCAGTCGATGAAATCCATAACAGTTAGTTCAAGCCAGTCAGTTAATGAGGTGTAGACTTCCTGGTTGGGGTCCTCAGGACGGTAAACACCGATGGCTGGAGACAATTGGTGATATGGCTCAAAATCACTCTCGGTAATGGCGCAGATGCATCCACTCCTTGTGACTTATGATTTCCAATGAATCTATATTGTTCTTCGATATTACTATTCATTTTGCCTCATATCTGTTTTTACTATCTCTATTTTGTGTTTCTTATACTTTCTTTTCTTGCTTTGTGTGCTGAGTGAACTGTGGTGACTCGGACTCCTACACATCGGTACAAAGTAGTTCTACGTTGAAACCAGTCAGTCATGTGTGTTAAGTAATATTTTATCCAAGTAGTATATATCTGGATATTCCCATTGGATTTCTAGAATTCTCTTATTAAATTAATTTCAAAATCATCCTGTATACAATTGTGTGTATTTGAAAATAAGTGAAATCATACCATGATGCTTGACTTCTATTTCATTATTCTCATAGTTACATTGTGCTGTCAGTCAGACAGTGTCAATGTCTTACACAAAGTTGGCTGTAACTGACACTAATTACATTTACGTAATATGGTTACTGGATAGTCACTGATACAGGGTTTTTTCATCGAAGTCTGTGGATCAGCAGAAAACCCTTCCGCATCCGATTACCTCGCAAATGTAACAGTGCACTTTGTAAATCACGTCTGTGTAGTGTCTCACCTTCAATTACAAAGCTGTCAGGTTGTAATGTTGCCTGCATTACTTAGTGTAATGGTGTTGTACAAGCTGCTATTGTATATACTAAAACTTTTCACCTTCGTGTTTTAGTAACAACAAATTAGGATGCGCAACGCATCAATGGACTAGCTACAGTTGTTTTGATAGAGATGATTGTTTCGAAGTGTGACCTCCAATCTGTTTCTGTGATAAGCTTATTTAGACAATAATATTTCAGGCATTCATCTCACGAGGTGACGTCGGTTAGAGGACCATTGGAAAACGTGCAGGGAGTACTGGTCACCTGTTTCCGTTGTCCTAGTTTGGGACTCCTCAGCAGCACGCACCCACTGAGGTTTGAACCTAGGGCCTTCTGGTTACAAGGCGAGCTAGCTCGTAGACCATTAAGCAGCCACTGGGACCCGATCCAATGACCAGTCCATGAATTCCGGCTTCCGGCAATCCATCATATGGCACGACTACTAGCGAATGTCATTGCTGGCGAGTATTTGCCGTTACGTCGTAAATGCTCTACCTCACTGTTCACGGCATTAATATTTACATTTTACTGTAGTTTTGGTAATTGTTTTAAGACAAGAAGAAATGGCGAACAGTTATTTTCGCTCGGTAAAGAAACTTTCAGTAATCCACACGCGCTAGCCGCATAATAATAGTAAATCTCACAGTCACTAAGCTACATGTAAAGGTTTTCAATATTAGCTGGTTGCTTAGATCAAATTAAATGAAGCGGAGTTACTGTGCGACACCCATCGGTTGGAAATCATATACTGAAATCAGTGTGATACACCTTGACCCCAAATAGTGCAGGACTGTTAGGTAGCGACATTATGCACCCACCATAAGATGATAGCCTGTTGCATGGTTCCGAATTCGTAAAGATGTGTGCTTCATAACGGTATATGGTGAGAACTATCATCAAGGCACTAACTTCCTCACAAAATTTCATCTAGTATTTCGTATATTATTTCCGGTGCGTTGGTGGCACAACGGTAGAATGAATGCTCGCCGACCACGCAGGTGGTTCGGCTTTCGATCCCTGGGCACTGACGGACTCCTTTACCTCGCTAAGCCGGCAATGAGACTGGTAAGAGAGAAGGTTGGGCATGAGACTTGTAACCCCATCCCGTAAAAATAAACACTACTGCTACCAAAACTTCAAGCCTCTAGCTTGAATCCCTTGTTATGTTCCACTGCGAACGTAAAGGAATAAAATAATAAATTTCGTTTCCACCTTTTTATTGGTTTAACTGCTGTCGTAGGTTTTCTGACTGCACTGTAACTTGGACGAACGGTTAATTGTTTATAAATGTTTTAGACTTTCTGCTGTTTCTTATGAAAGACGTTGAAAAGCAATAACTGGAGATGATATGGGTCAAAATTGTTTTCAGTTGGTCAGATATATTCACTTGTTATAGTGTTGCCATAAGGTCCATTAGATCCGCATGTTTCTCCATGTACTTATTCTTTCTCCCATGCATTTCTATTCATTATAATTGTTTTTGCCTCCTCTACCTTTGCGTGTGCTATACGGAGTATTATAGTAACTTGTGAATTGCTGCACTTCTCTGCGGCGTTCTACGTCAGTCAATGGAAGACGCACCTGCCTGCAGCATTTTTGTGTTGTTGTTTTCTTCTGTTCCACAATTATCTCGTTTACTACTTTTAATTTGATGATTAAAACTGAATGGATATTTTATTGTGTTGATAATACGCTCATAAATTATCTTGTAATTTTCTTTTTTGTTTTCTGTTTCAATAGACGAAGTCGTTCTGGAGAGCGTCGAAGTGGTCGATCCAGACGTGATGACGATCGTTCACCAGGTAGAGTTTAGTACAAGAATTCCCTTTTATAAATGTGATCAAAGAAAAAACAAGCATTGGTACAGAATAACATTGGATTGGGTCCCAGTGGCTGAATGGTCCACGAGCTAGCTCGCCTTGTAACCAGAAGGTACTGGGTTCGAATCCTGGCGGCGGATGCGTACTGCTGAGGAATCCCAAACTAGGACAACGGAAACAGCTGACCAGTACTCCCTGCAGGTTTTCCAATGGTTCTCTAACGGATATCAGCTCATAGTGAAATCCTGTAACCAATCAATCAAATCCCTACTAACCAATACTTGAAAATGGATCCATTTTGTTTCGTTGGTTCTCCTCATCAGCTGCTTTCAGCTCATAATCTTTAATAAGTAAAAGTCAGCGTAAAATTTAACCTGCTTTTGTCATCAACAAGCATATTATGAGAGTGGCATGGTGAGGTGAAACATTAGCCCGATACGGTAGCTGAAGTGTAAGTATACATATACACATATATATCTTGTTAGACAGAAGTTTCCAGAAAATTGATTGAGAAGATTTTTTGCTAGGGTGGTGACAGAAATTAGTAGAAAGTACACCTGCATAACAATAAATCTGTCAATTAATTTTCTAGAAACTCCCCTTTAACAAGATATATGTATGTATATGTATACTTACACTTCTGCTATCTTGTCTTCCTGATGTTCTACCTCACCATGGCACTCTCATAATATGCTTGTTGATGGACAAAAGTAGGTTAAATTTAACACTGACTTTTTACTTATTAAAAATTATTGTTTGCATGCAGCTGATGAGGAGAACCAACGAAATAAAGTGAATCCGTGTTATTCTGCACCAATGTTTGTTCTTTCTTTGCTTATATATATAATATCACTATGGATAAAATTTTATTTTGATAAAATCACGCACAGTGTTTTATACAGTCATATTTACTGATGCGACCACGTTTCGAGCACAAATTATTACTACTCATAATCGTACCAACACAATACTCACATACCTTTCTCGCTTCATTTATATACATGAGTAAAATTGATGACTAGACATTTGAATAAAATCAATGCAAGATAAAGTACATTCACAAATAGTATTAGTGTTATCAATCATATACAATATACGATGTTTTCATAGTAAAAATAATTAACTTGTTAGAATGTTACAATGTGAATTGAAAAATATATTTTAAGATTATTTATTATCCTCCTCTGATTTGACTGGTGATAATAATGTCTTCCATGTCTCTGGTATTTGCGTTGAGTCAGTCTCTTTCTCCACCTACCTATATTACTTCTTAGAATTTTGACTCTGTCCCACCCATCACCCCATTGTTTGGTTGCGTGTTAATGCTTGCAGTACAGAGTAGTGCTGAGTCTTTTTTCTAAATTACTTATCTTCTCTGGGTCAACCATTCTTACCTTAGCTAAATTCTTATGTTCTGACAATCTGACTACCCCCGATCTACTAGTCTGACTGACCTATGTAGTTGACCTGACTCACAGTCATTGCAGGGTATTTTGTAAATTATATTATTTTGTTTAATTGGGTCCACGAACAGGGTCCTTTAACCTACAGAGCTTGTCCCTGAGTGAGTTTGTAGGTTTGAATGCCACCCTAATTCCTGCTCTATTGAGAATCCTACCTAGGGTCTCAGATGTCTCCTCTTTATGTGGTATAACTGTAGATGACTAATATTCTCTCTTATCTGTGTTATCATTTCTAGTTTCACAATTATTTTTATTTTGCTTTTGGCCTTTTTCAATCTTCCTAATGAATTGTATAGGATGGTTAGTTATTTGACACCAACGCTTCTTCTATCTGTTTTATTTCATTATTTAGGTCTTTTCTTATGCTACTTAGTGCTATTGCTCGGTTTGTTAGACACTTAACTAAGCCTGCCTTAACAGTTAACGGATGAGATGAATTAAAGTCTAAATATCTATTAGAATGCGTTGGTTTTCTATAAACACTAGTGTTAAGTTTACCTTCTTTTATTCGTTTTATTTTACAATCTAACATCACAGCTAATTCTCCTTGTTCATTTTCCGATTCAAATGTGAATTTCATTCCCTTTACTAGTGTGTTTATGTGTGTTAAGAAGCTAGAGAGAGATATGTTCTGCTTTTAACACTGTGTATGAAAGTGTCATCCACATATCTCGGAATGTACATTATCCCATATTGATTTTTATTCAAATGTCTAATCATCAATTTTTACTCATGTATATAAATGAAGCAAGAAAGGTATGTAAGTAGTGCCTTGATATGATATTATGAGCAGTAATAATTCGTGCTCGAAACGTGGTCACATCAGTAAATATTACTGTATAACAAACACTGTGTGTGGTTTTATCGAAATAAAATCTTATCCATATAATGGAGTTATTCTCTACCACCACAGTGCCCAATTTCTATCCTTATATCAATATATCTTAATTGTTTTGTTTTTTCTCTTTCAGATCATAAACGCTCCCGAGATAAAGATCGTGACAGACGACATTAGAACTCGAAAGTGACACATTGTACATATTTTAATAAAAATATTTTTTGTCTATCCCACCAGTGCATTATATACATTCTGAGTATCACATATTGTTTTGTGTTTTTGATAATTTTTTTCAAGGAGCCTATGTGTGCGTATGTGTATGTGTTCACCACTAACTGCCAATCAGCAAATGACCTCGAACGCACCAATCACGTGAAGGAGGCATTTGTGTTTATGGAATACAGATATTTATGAGAAAGATGCATTAAAACTAATAATAATGATAATGCATTCTCATTTTTTGTACATGAGTGACTCCAGTCTACAGCCATCATCAATATGATAAATTACATATACGATTAGTAAGCATATTCAATAATAATGATTATTATTGTTCCCTTGAGTTCCTAGTGGAACATAGGGCTTCAACTGCACGTCCCCACTTGCTTCTGTGTTCTGCTGAACTTTCCACCTGCATCCATGTTATTCCGTACTGTTTCAACTCCTCTTCACACGATCTCCTCCATGTCACCCTTGGACATCCCACTCACCACTTCCCTTTCGGGTTCCACTCGAGCTATGGCCTGACTCGCGATGTCACCCAGCGGCCTCCTCAGCGAGTGTCCAATCCATCTCCACTTTCTCCTGCATATTTGTTGGGCGATTGGTTCTTGTTTTGTTTATTCCCATAATTTCTTGTTGGTGATTCTTTTCGGCCATCTCATCTTCAGTATAGAACGAAGACAGCTGTTGGTAAACATCTGCAACAGGCTGTTGGAAATATTCTTTGTGACCCGCCAAGTTTCTGAACCGTAGAGAAGAACTGACTGACTTGGCGTTTGTATTGAAAATCCGAATTTTGTTGTTGATGTTGAGTGACGAAGATTTCCAGATTGGTTTCAGGTTGATGAATGTGTTTCTCGCCTTCCCGATTCACGATTTGACATCCTCGTCCGTTCCTCCTGTGGTTGAGACAATGCTCCCCAGATAAGTGAAAGAAGTAACCTCTTTCAAATCCCTCCCGTTGATGGTGATTGGCACTGGATGTTGCTGCTGTTGTTGGTTGGTTATTTTCATGACCTCTGTCTTGTCTATGTTCACCTGGAGTCCTGTCTTCACTGCCTGCTTCTTCGACCAGTTTGTTGGTTTTCGCTTGTAAGTCTTCGATTTTGTGTGACATCAAACATAAATCATCCGCGAAATCCAGGTCTTCCAGGTTCTTCACGTCGGTCCAGGATATCCCTGTCTTCTCGTTTCCCACTGTCTGACACATAATCCAGTCCACCACAATTAGGAATATCATTGGTGATAATAAGCACCCTTGTCTGATTCCTGTGTTTACTCCAAACGCCTGGCTGAGTTTTCCGTTGTGGATCAGTTGACATGTGCCGTTGTCGTACAGCTGTTGAATAAGGTTGATGAATATTTGGGGTACACCGTAGTACTCGAGTAGTTTCCAAATTACTTCGCGGTCAACGCTGTCGAAGGCCTTCTCAAAGTCTATGAAGTTGAGGTAGAGATTTGATTGCCATTCCATGCTTTGTTCGATGATAATGCGTAGAGTTGCAATTTGGTCAGAACATGATTTGTCTTTCCTGAATCCAGCTTGTTCTGGTCGGAGTTCTGTATCCAGTGCGTCCTTTATTCTCCTCAGGATGATGCGACTCAGGATTTTACTTGGCGTCGACAGGAGCATGATTTCTCGCCAGTTCTTGCAAAGTCCTAAGTCGCCCTTCTTTGGTAGTTTCACGAGATAACCTTTCCTCCAGTCAGTGGGCACCTTTCCCTCCATCCAGACCTTTTGCAATAATGGAGTCAGCATATCTGCTGTCGTCTCTGGGTCCGCTTTCTCACCCATAGAGGACACACCAGTTGTACAGGCATGGATAAGTTTGGTTTATGGTGAAATTACGTGGTTGCTGTCTTTCGTTTTTGGGAATAATCTGCTACCTAGTCATTTAACGGAGCACATCAAGAAATTTAGAAATATTGTCTTCGCACCAACCAAATAGCTTAAGTATGTGTTGGATGGATTACAAACACTTTGGAGAAAAATAAAGCTTGAGGTCATTTCCTTTATATAACTTTAGTTGTCTACGGTATCGAATCTTATTTTTGATTTATATCCGAATTGGGTATTCATTGAAAATAAGTGATGTAGTTGTATAATTTTGTCAGCATTCTCATCGTAAGTAACACCAGAAGTGAATTGAACTCAATGCAGAATAATATTAGTCCACTGCTGGTCACCATTCACCAATTAACTTCTAGGAATACTCTTCGTTCAAATTGACTTTTAATTTTTTAGGGAAATTGGGCAAAGTTAAACTTTAAGCACCATTAACTACCAATCAGCGAATGACCTCGAACGCACCTATCACGTGAAGTAGTCACTTTTATGTGTGGAATACATATATTTGTGAAATAATGCATAAAATCTGTATAAAAGTTTTACAGAGGATACCTTTCTCTCGCATGTGATAAAAATAGCTCCCAGTTTTAGGTTGGTGTATCAACAGAGTATAATTCCATTGTCGACAAAATTTATTTTGATAAAGTCACATAGTTTTATACAGTAATATTTCCTTAGTAATAAATTGTGCTCGAAACGTGGTCATCAGTAAACATGTCTGTATAACACTATGAGACTTTATCAAAATAAATTTTACGCACAATGGAATTATACTCTACCACAGTGCACAAGTTCCATTGTTTTATCAACAGAGCAATTTGTGCGTCGGTGACAGTGGTTAGGACGCTTACCGACCATGCAAATGGCCCGAGGTTCGACTTCCGGCAGACGCACACCTGCTAAATTTGGGCTACCGGTATCACATGCTGAAAACTCCAAAGGTATACCAAAATACTGTGCGGAATCAAGCTATAATAAAAAATGAAAAATAAAATAATTTAACAACATTCGCTGCATGTAACTACTTAGGTCTTCTAACACTAATAATTACCCTAATCTTTGCTGAACCTAACCCTTACGTGAAAATATCGCTAAACTAACTGTAATCCAACTCGAACCAACCCCAATTTCGCTAATATTAGGTTAACCTAACCCTAACTGGTCCGTGGCTTAAAGTGTAACTTATTCTTTCCCAAACCTAAGCTGAAACTTGCCAGATATCCCATTTAATAGCATAACAGTGTGATGAGCATATTTTATTGATGGTGACAACATCATTATCTACCCAGTTTCACTAACTTGTTCAGTGAACGTTTGAAGGTCACTGATGCGGTCGCATCCCATTGGTAGTTAGTGGTGCTTAAAGTTTAACTTGGCCCAGTTCCCATAAATGGATATTATTTGTAGTAGTGTAGGCAACACATTGTTAATCCAATGAATTACATCGAATTCATTTGTTTTCTGGTAGTATGAATTTGAATTGCTTATAAAAGTGATTGTTCAGCATTCAAAGCAGTTATTATTGTTATAGTTTCCTTTAATTCATAGAGGAACATAGGGCTTCAGCTGTGCGTCTCCATTCCGTTCGGTTCTCTGCTAGAGTTTTCACCTGGCTCCAAGTCTGCCCACATGCTTTCACCTCCTCCAAGTCACCCTGTACTGACGACCAACTCGCCGCTTCCCTTTCGGGTTCCACTCGAGCGATGGCTTGTCTAGTGATGTCACTTGATGGTTTCCTCAGAGTATGACCAATCTACCTCTATTTCTTCCTGCCTATTTGTTTCACAATCGGTTCCTGCTGTGTTGGTTCGCTCCCAGAGACTCCTCCTTGTTGCTGATCTTTTCTGGCCGGCCATCTGATCTTGAGTATTGAACGAAGACAACTGTTAATGAAGGTCTGTAGTTTGTTTGAGGTGCTCTTTATGACACGCAGTGCAAGTCTCTGATCCGTATGTTGAGTAGCACTGACTGACTTCACATTGGAGTTGAAAATCCGGATCTTATTTTTGATGCTGAGTGTTGTTGACCTCCACACAGACTTGAGAAAAATGAAAGCTTGTCTTGCTTTTCTGATTCTTGCTTTGATATCCTCGTCAGTTCCGCCTGTAGTTGAGAGGATGCTTCCCAGGTCGTTAGGTAGGTAAAGAAGGTTGTTTCTTTCAGGTTCCTCCCATTTATGCTGATTGTTTTCTGTTGTCGTTGTTGCTGTTGTCCAGGAATCTTCATCACCTTGGTTTTCTCTATGTTCACCTGAAGTCCTATCTTTGATGCTTCTTCTGCCAACTTGTTGCTTTTGAAAGCAGTAATAACTATTGTTATTAACTGGTGTGTCCTACATAGATAGGAATAAATATATATTATATTATTATTATTAAATATATTCTCCAGGGTTTACCAATGATCATGTACAGCATGAAATCTATTTCTTCTTGATGACAAGAGTATACAGTGAATCTAAATTCAGATTACTTGAAAAGCCTATATGTTATTTATATTTTTATATTCCTAACTGTTCATTTGATCCATACTGATAAATTTCTGGTGAAAGCTGTGTGAGATACACACCGAGCTTATAATAATAATAACAGTAGTATTATTATTCCCTTGGGTTCCAAGTGAAGCATAGGGCTTCAACAAAACATCTCCACTCTGTTCTATTTTCCTCTGTTCTCTTCAGCGGGCTCCACTATTGCCCATAATCTCATCTCTTCCTCACACAGTATCCTGCATGTCACCCTCGGATGACCCACTCGTTGCTTCCCATTGGAATTCCACTAGAGGGATGGCCTGGCGCGCGATGTCATTCGACGATTTCCTCAAAGTATGGCCGATGCATCTCCATTTTCTCCTACAAATTTGTTGAGCGATCGGCTCTTGGTTGGTTTGTTCCTGGCCAGAGTTTCTCGTCACTAATTCTTTCTGTCTGGCCATTTGATCTTCAGTATGGAGCCAGTGTAGGAGGCAGCTGTTAATAAAAGTCTGTGACTTGCTGTTGGAAATCCTTTTCGTGACACACCACACACGGAGCTTAATGGGCCTATTTTGACTAAACTGATGACAGCGAAGTTAAACTGTAAGCACCAAAATGAAGCAGTGGACACAAATCACTTTGAACGCACCAATCACATGAAAAAAAGGCAACTTTTATGTAGAAAATGCATATATTCATGAAGTTAATGAATAAA